AGTTGCAAACTTTTGCACAGTCGACAAAGTAAGATCTAGGAGCAACGTGCTCACCCCAGCTTTTGAGAAATGAATGGAGGAGGAAAAGGGGGAATAGGGGTAGGAGGAGGCAGATCTGAGGAGAGTGGTGCACAACAACCTAAGGTGGCAGAAAGAAAACAGGAAATGCTATGTGAGAATTCTGGGCCAACATTTGACAGGGCATGGCAGGCTAATCTAAGCTAGATTAAATAAAGATGCGGGCATTAATTTGTCTTGATTCGGTCTGGTTAACTTTGTCTGCGGCTACTATGGTCTAGGGCATAAACTATTGAAAGGTGTCATTTCCTGTACTGGAGAGGGCAACTTGAAAGTAGAAGCGAACAATAAAACATGAACGGTGAGGAAGAAGGCAAGACCCGCGATGGGTAGGAGCTACTAAAAGAAAACGACAGGAGGTAAGGTTAGAGACGGACAAGGTAAAGTTGGAAAGAGAGCAAGTGAGGCATTCCGTATTCATTACGTGTAACAGAAATTCACCACCCACTTGAAGTGGCTAGTTAGTCAAAAGCACAATAAGTGCAATGCTTCTTTCAGTTTTAGAGGTGGATTTTATTCGGAGACCAGCGATTAAAGTGCATTCAACTTACGGTATTACTTTAAAATACCAACACGTGTTTTAGTGTTGCCGTCTAAATTTCAATTTTGCTTTTGTAATTTGCGAATTGTGAAAAATGCAACATAGCCCGAGTTTTTTGTGCTAGCCATTTTAGGTTGTGAGGTGTTTAGCGTAAACGTTGCAGCTAATTACAAGCAGGTCACACCTTACATTACTGAACGCTTTTAGAAGGTACACTAGGTGGAAACGATCCATCGCAAAGTGGGGAAAATATTGTGATTGAAGACTTAACTTACCGATTCGTGACCATTCATCCAACAATGCCTATTTCAACATTAAAATAGCATGAGTATTTGAGCTAACACAAATTTCTCTCAATTATGCCAATCGTACAAGACGTTTACGCAAAAAAATATTCTTCTTTCTTCGTCAAGTTAGTCACGGAGAGCTACAGTAAGGCCGCCTCAAATTGTTTCCAGGTATAATAACAACGTTTATCTGTACGAAATATTTTTAATATTGTTCTACCACCGCAGTCAG